GCAGTTTGTGAGAGTCAAATATTTGATAGCTGACTGAAAATAAATGAAATGTGAGCGCATTTCAGTGGAAGTAGGCCAGTTGCTAACATTCTCTTTCATCTCTGAAAGTTAAATTTCATTATTTAATTGGATAAAAATCAAGAGCAATATTTGTCATATGGGGGAATTTCTATATAAGGTCATGCTATTGAGCAGCGGGGAATGGTCTCATGGCCTTTTTCGGGTGTTAACTCTATTGTTTCTTATGTTGAAATAACCCATTCATTCCTGTGAGTGGTATTTATAGTTAACCTTCTTGAAAACTTCATATTCAGGTACCATGTCTTTGAGGACATGGTTCTTGGATCAGCGTGCGGCTTCCACAGCATTGCGCCAGGCTTCTGCTACAGCCAGGCATGTTTTCTGTGACTGAATTAGGCCTGGAGAATGTTGCATCTTAAAACCTGCTTTCCAGCGTGCATTTGTAGAGCATAAGCCATCATCCCTCTGTAGACCCAGTCGTTTCTACAAGGGATGGAAGAATTTAACCTTTAAGTGCCATAAAATATTGGAGGAGTAGGGAGAAAATAGTACAAGAAAACAAGTTTGAACTTGTACTATGTGGTTTTATATGGAAGCTTTCTATTATTATGCCTATATGCCCAATTATATTTTTCTAACTACTTCAGAACAAGTATGAATTTAGCTATTTAGTATAGTCATCGAGTTCCTTAATATGGTAAATTTAATTTCAGGTTTCTTTGCTTTTTTTATATCATTGTAGTATCACAGCTATGGCAATATAAAGAAAGTAAGTTATTCTTTATATTTATTGGTCACTTGCTTTTCAATCAGTTATATGCTTTTAAACAAATTTGAAGGTCATTTTGGTTATGACTATAATAAGATGTATCACAAACCACCCTTGACTAGAATGTGAATGCCAAAGTGTTGAACTTAATTAGAAAAATGTTTAGATTATTTAGACTACATCAGTGTATAGAATTATGTATATAGTATAGATATGTATTTTATAAATGTATACAATTTAAAATGCTTATATAGTTTTTCAGGGTGTAAATTAATGATTTAAAAATACTGCAGTAAAGTTCTTTATGTATCCAGTGACTAAAGCATATCAGGTAGTAGATCATAATTGGTAAGTTGATGTAATTTAATAAGAATGTGATTCACAATTTAATTTATAAATATAGGTAAATGCATAACTTCAGAAATTTTATATAATTGATGCAATATTTTCATAACTTCATAGAATTAAAACACAGGTACTTTCCTGTGATAAATATGTGACCTAGGGCATTAAAAAATAATGTAGTAGCATTTCTGACTAGTAAGATTAAATTGGCGAGGTGCAGTGACTCACACCTATAATCTCAGTACTTTGGGAGGCTAAGGTGGATGAATCACTTGAGCCCAGGTGTTTGAGACCAGGCTGGGCAATACGGCAAAACCCTATCCCTACAAAAAAATTAAAAATCACCCAGGTCGGCCGGACGCAGTGGCTCATGCCTGTAATCCCAGCACTTTGGGAGGCCGAGGCGGGCGAATCACGGAGTCAGGAGATCAAGATCATCCTGGCTAACATAGTGAAACCCCGTCTCTACTAAAAATACAAAAAATTAGCCCGGCATGATGGCGGGCGCCCGTAGTCCCAGCTACTCGGGAGGCTGAGGCAGGAGAATGTCGTGAACCCGGGAGGCGGAGCTTGCAGTGAGCCCAGATTGCGCCACTACACTCCAGCCTGGGTGACAGAGCGAGTCTCCGTCTCAATAAATAAGTAAATAAAATAAAATAAAAATAAAAATCAGCCAGGCACGGTGGCATGCACCTATAGCCCCAGCTACTTGGGAGGCTGTGATGGGAGAATCGATGGAGTCTGGGAGGTTGAGGGTACAGTGAGCCATGATCATGCCACAGCACTCCAGTCTGGGCCACAGAGTGAGACCCTGTCCCAAGGCGGGGAAAAAAAAAGAGAGAGAGAGAGATTAAATCATGACTGAGTCAGATTCTTCAACTTGGGAAAGCTGACTTTATGTCAACCTTCATAGATAAGGAAGCCTCCCATAAAACACTTTTTAGTGAAATGGAAACTAACTTACCATCTTCTAAGCTTTGGTTCATGAGGGTCCTGGGAGCTTGCAAAAGCTTTGCCAAGATTCCCTCTGAGCATTCCTTGAGGGACTTTCCAGAGCCTGAAAGATTATCTTTATAATCAGAAAATCTCTGGAATAACTGTAAAGCAATTCTCCATGAAATGGGTTCTACTCCTTGGACAATCAATAGTAGAATGGTGGCAGGGTTTTTTCCTTGTCCATTGTCAACAGATATGTTGTGCCTCACAATGCCAGGAGAAGAGAGGTGAACTGTGATCACTGTCCCTCTCTACCTTAAGATGTATAAATGCATAACCTTCAGAGCTATTAGAATAGAGATTATTTATATCCAAACAACTTAACCACATTCACAAATATATGTAATCTAATGACCTTCCCAATAACAAAAAATACACCCGGAGGTCCATATGTGTAAACAATTGATTCCATTGTCATTCAGGTTAGTGGCTATTAGGACTTGTGCTGTAAAGGGTTTGTTTTAAATATGTATATATTTGTATTAAACATAAGACACCTACAGAATACATGGAAGAATTATAATGTGAAAAATTAAACATCTCACAATTATATTAGCAGTGGTAACATGGGAAGTGAAGGGTGAGTATATTTTCTAAAGTTTTCAAATGGAAAAGTACGTGTGTGTGTATACATGTATAATTACTTTTTTATTATTAACATATTATTTTTTATTAAATAATTCCTATTTAATAAGAAAATGCATTTTCTAATATAATTAGTTAGACTCTGTTAGGACCAGACTTGAGTTATGGATCAAAATGGAGAGATAGAATTATCTAAAGACTATAATTCACTCTATAAAGTGACATTAAAAGATATTCAAACGTTTATTGATTCACTCTTCGTGAACCCAACATAACTATTCAGTGTCTGTTCTATACTTGGTGATATACTGGATCTTTTGGTATATATATGTGTGTGTGTATGTAGTTGGTATACATGTGTGTATATACATAGATGTATGTAAATATGTTCATATATTTAGGAGAATATTTGGTCAAAGGAAACAAGTATAGTAGATTAAACGCTCTATAAAATTTAGCATGAAGAAAATCATGCAAGAATGGCTTCATAAGAGGAGGTTGAGCTTTACTATGATGAGGCTCAGAAATCATTAAGTTTGGATTAGACAAGAGGACAAAAAAAATGAAACTTTCTATAACTAACCTCAAATACATTGGTTTCTTATTGTTATTACTTGTAAAGTGGATATTATGGCTGCCACTCATCAAAAGCCATAGTAATTAACCCATAAACTACCAGTGAAATTGGAAGAAAAAGTTAGTGGCTGAGACCAAACAGTTATCCAGTATTTTCTCAGAAGCTGCTGCAATTCTACCGAGCAGTAATTTTCCTAGGTCTTTCTTAAATGTATAAAAATATCCTGGCTATAAGAAGCAGAAAAATCCTAGGAGAGGAGAAGATGTCTTGGCTTTCCCACCTCTCCATAATGTAGAAGAAATTAATGGTAAAAAAAAAAAAAAAGTTTGTGCTATCATGACCCTAATAACTATCAGCCAGAAGTGATGGCCTAGCTTCTCTATTTACCATACTCCAGCCTAGGAGGTACTGTACTAAAAAATTGTATTTTTACGTGAAGTAATTTTCATAATATATATATTTGGACATGGCTAATATCAGGTTAATATCACCTTTAAAGTAACACAACAGAAAGTGTCATCTGGATACTACCCTTTAATTAGTTCACATTGTAAAATATTAAACTACATTTGCATTATGTCTTCATTAAGTCAGGAATTTTGAGCCAAATTTCCCCAACGTGAACTGTGTTTATGGCCTTTTTAAAAATAACACAGTAACTCTTTCAGAAGGCTTTGGCAGAGTGACCCTAACACTCAGCTACCAAAGTTAATGGGGGCTTTGAAACCATTAACATGTCCATGCACTATTCTTTCATCATAAAAGCTTTACATTATCTAGGTTGTGCTGTATGTCATGTCTTTGCATCTGTTTTCATAAAACATTGCACAATCCTGTCTTCCCAAGTGATCTCAGAGTACTTATTATTTATTCTTGTAATATTACAGTGGCTCTTCTAGCCATGTGTCATGTCACAATGATTTAGTTAAAGGAAATATTCACAGCCGGATCACACGTTGAATTCAGAATGTGCTCCTAATGAAAGTCTATAGAGATTCTGGACAGTGCCATTTATGAAGAAATTTCCATTTCATTTAGAATTCTTTGGCAAGTACTGAATTCAGTTATGCAGTTCAAAAAAAGAGAGAGATCCATCATTTTTCTTCTAGTAAAATAAGAAGAAAATTATGTAAGCCAGAGAAAAATAGAGTGCAAAGTTGAAATATAATGACTGTGACTCATGTTAATGTGCTGCTCTTCCTTTCTAAAATTATAGAAACATGGACAATACTTAGAAACAACTGGTAATATTCTTTGCCCTCTGAAAATTTCCATCTGAAGAGGTGGAAATTAAAATTTGATTTGATGTATTTTAGTTAATATAATCATTACTAGATGTCAGCATACCACTTTATCCAACTATTCTTGGCTTGGCCTCAATATTAACATATTAAGTTATGTTCATATAGCATTCATATACAAATGCAGATCATAAAACAAGTTAATCAGTATAATCCATCCATTCCAGACCACCCACACTGAATGTTGTCTAAAATTTTTTTGTCTGATTCAGGTCAGTAGTCATATTATTTTGAATAGTATGTCTTGATTTATGTTAAATTATTAGTACATAATGATCAGTAACGCTAATAGAGTTAAATGCTATCACTACCTTTTTTTTTTTTTTCAAAAAATGACACAGTATTTCCCAGTTAGTTAAATAAAAGAGGGGAAAATCACATCTTTGAAATGGGATTTTGTTTCCAGAAATTAAATGCAACCAGCTCATCTGAAGGAAGCACAGTTGATGTTGCTCTACCCCGAGAAGGTGAACAAGCTGAAATTGAACCCGAAGAAGACCTTAAACCAGAAGCTTGTTTTACTGAAGGTAAACAAGCTCTAATGTGATTAAATACAATCTCCCCTTGTTCTTTACAGAGACTGAATATGCCTCATTTTTAAAAAATATATTTATGAAACGAGGTATGGTGGCTCATGCCTGTAACCCCAAAATTTTGGGAGGCTAAGGTAGGAGGATTGCTTGACCCCAGGAGTTTGAGACCACCCTGGGAAATGTAGCAAGGCTTTGCCTCTACAAAAAAAAAATAATAATAATAATAAAGAAAAAATAAATTAGCTGGACATGGTTGTACATGCCTGTGGTCACTGCTACCTCAGCTATAGCTGTATCTCAGAGCTTTTGCAGGGAATCGAGGCTGCAGTGAACCATGATTATGCCACTGCACTTCAGCCTGGGCAACAGAGCAACACCCTGTCTCAAAATAAATACATAAATTGAATTAAATAAGAACAATATTTAAAAGAAATAGTGAAGGCATGTTTATCTTTATTTTCCTTTTTTGTTTTCTTGTAAAAAGTTAATCTCTCTAGATATCTGGATTATACTTACAGCAGTGACTATTCCTGGGCAATTAAAATGATCTGATCGGTCTTTTTGTTTTTCCTCTTTCTCCATAACATGAGGAAGCTGACCCTATGAGATAAATGGCATTCTAGAATGTCATGTCATTGATATTGTAATCCCTGTAGAACTCCTTGGCAATGGTGTGATTTGATTTATAGATGCTACAGTAATTACATTCCCTCCCTTATAGTTCCAATGTGGTTAATGTGCTCTGGCTAGAGCTGTTTTGAGATGTAGCTGTGTTGTGGAGTTTGCCAGGGAAAGCAATAGCTGTTCTCACAGAAAGCAGCATAGTGTCTTGCACACAAATCAATGAATATCTATTATTCAGTGTGATTGGACTTAATCTGATGAGTAGTAGCTCAGAATCTTACAGCAGAAGAGTGGATGGGAGTTAGAAATAATGTGAAAGCTAGGAGGGGGAGGACAAAGGGAAAGGAAATACTGACTGATGAGCTGAGTCATAGGTGTGACTAAGAAAAGCACTGAGGCTGAAAAATAAATTAGCTTCGGAAAATTGACAGTGGCTGATGCCTGGGAAGACAACGAGATTTTCTGTGCATGAAAAGAAGTAAAAACCCAGAATCACATCAAAATATGAATAAACAACTCGAACATGTAGTTTTGCCTCAAACCTGAGAAATGCACCTGGACTATTTTCATCAATGGCCTTGAGGCAAAATAATCCTGAGTGGTGGTGAAGAAGGAAATCATTGTTACTTAAGCAAATCTAGATAAAATATTTCCTTAAATTCTAAGTAGGTGGCTTGGCTGAGTATATAAGTCTAAGAATAATTCAATATACAGGAGGGATGCTGAAGATACCTAGGAAATGAAGGAGATGGCTACTCTATGAAATGATTACCTGGAAGTGGAGTGGGGAAGGAACAAGAAAGTTTGTTTTTTCCTATTTAAGATGAAAATATATTTTTAAATAAACTATATTTGATTTTTAGGATGTATTAAAAAGTTTCCATTCTGTCAAGTAAGTACAGAAGAAGGCAAAGGAAAGATCTGGTGGAATCTTCGGAAAACCTGCTACAGCATTGTTGAGCACAACTGGTTTGAGACTTTCATTGTGTTCATGATCCTTCTCAGTAGTGGTGCTTTGGTAAGTGAAACGCATATTGGCAAGAATCAGATTCTGGTGAAATAGTTTATTCTCCAAAATTACCAGATGCGAACACTGAGCTTCAGAATCAAAAGAAAAGGCATATCTGTGTCTTGCAGAGCTTGGCACCCAAGGTTTAACGATACAAAATTCAGTTCAGAACAAATCAGCACCATGAAACAGCCCGATGGAATTTCTCATCTGGTGTTTATCTAACAGATGTTTTCCTCACTGAGACAACCATTTGCAGAGACATTCTGTAACCACGTTACTTTCCCTGTCAAATACCATCCAGTTTTCCCTAATAATTGTATTAACATTTATGGACTAAAAGTGTATTTTAGGTTTTTTTTTCATGTATAATCAACTTATTCTCTCAAAATAAGCCAGATCGTTCAGGAAATTGTAGAAAGTAATGCTTGAATAGGCCAATTCTGTCCCTCATTAACAGAACTTCTAGTTATTTCTGAGTTCATATTACTTCATTAAAAGCATGTCTTCGTAGCAGTAATTGAGATAGAGACTTAGGGGTGAGAAGTAGGAAAGAAAGCACATTCTAAATCACTAAAGGCATGACATTTCCTTGCCAGCATTTTCACACTTAGTTTTAGTCTTTAGATTTTGTCTAATGTGCAATGTTAATGTAAAATATCAATAATCAAATTATTGTTTTGTACTCACTATTATACTAAGCAATTTTTTCAAATATTTAGAATATTTGAAGCAAGCCATTTAAGTAAAATAAAATATTTTTGATTCACAGGCCTTTGAAGATATATACATTGAACAGCGAAAGACTATCAAAACCATGCTAGAATATGCTGACAAAGTCTTTACCTATATATTCATTCTGGAAATGCTTCTCAAATGGGTTGCTTATGGATTTCAAACGTATTTCACTAATGCCTGGTGCTGGCTAGATTTCTTGATCGTTGATGTAAGTATCTTGAATGATTTTTATAAAGCTGTTTTTAAAAGAGGCAAGTTTGACATTTCATATATTTCTGTTATTAAAACTTTCACTAACAATGACATAATTATGCAGTTATTTAAACAAAACTATAATATATGCAATAATGAGGAATATCTCATGGGAAAGAGTAGAGGAGGTCCTAAAAACATGGGCAGTGGTTAAGAGAAAACACAGGGAGAGTTGTTCTATACCACAAACAGACAGCTTTTATTTTTTTGAAAGTTAAGTGCCTCAAGGTAAGTAATAGCTACATAATATGTTGATTGACAGATGTAAGCACTTAGCTTACTAACAGTTCAGTTTAAAAAAACAAAGAAACATCTCCAAGAGGCAAAATAAAAAATGACTGAAGGTCAGAAATTGTGTAAACTGCACTTTAATCCCTTCCTACAGTACACGTGACTAAATACTGTTAAATTAACCCATGTACTGAGTTCATTCAGCCACAGCCACATACCCACAGACACAACAAAATGCATTTCCATTTTTAAATCAGTAGTTAGATCCCCATAACTAATCAGATATTTACCATGCAAAGAGTTAGGTGTAGGTCTGTTCTGAATCTGATTACCCTGGGGTGAGTAGTCACAGGAACATTGCCAATTATGGAATTTATCTGACTTGCAGCCTGTTTTTTTTTTTTATTTCAAATGACGGAGAAGCACTGGGACAACATGACAGTCCTGTGATTCCTTGTAGTCTGTGATATTCCGTTGCACAAGGCTTCACAGCCTCCTAAACTTCACAAATCAAGGTGCTTCAAATACTGTCTCTAGCCATTTCCTAGCAATCACAAAGCACTTTATTTTTAGCTCTAACACTTGCCAATAGGAATCAATGATTGCCATATGTGTGCATTCATTATTTTTCTCATTTTTGACGAGTCTGGGTCTATCCAAATTCTACTCTTCTTCCTCCCACAAATACATATTCACAATTATATAACCAAAATGTGTTTAACCATTTAAGTTGATAAGAAATCTGCTGCCAAGTCACTTTTAATAGACCAGAAATGACTTTCAATTTCCTTGGCTGGCCTTTCATTAATAATAGAGATGAATTTCAACATAACTCTGAAAAGCTATCCACAAACGGAACCTTAATATTTTCACATTTTGCAGCTAGAGTGGACCTTAAGGAATATCTAGGCTTTATTTAAGACATGAGGAAACTAAAGCCTCAGTTTAAATATTTTTTGGAGATAGCACAGCTTCTTAATAATAAAGTTGATATGTGTCCAGATTTACTAATTCTCAATTCAGTGCTCCTTTCCCCCACAGATTTTCTGCCTAACTGATCCATTATAAATGTATTAGTTGTAATAGGCAGATGTGTGTGTGTGTGTGTGTGTGTGTGTGTCAGACTGGCATCAGACTGGCTTTGAGATTTAGCATTTAAAATCTCTACCTTCTCTGTGAAAGATGGAACACTAAATACATTCAATGATCCTTTCTGGTCCAAAAAGATTTTATCGTGTATGAATATTGTTAGCATTTTTTTTTTTTTTTTTTTGAGATGGAGTTTCACTCTTGTTGCCTAGGCTGGAGTGCAATGGTGCGATCTTGGCTTTCTGCAACATTTGTCTCTGGGGTTCAAGCGATTCTCCTGCCTCAGCCTCCCGAGTAGCTGGGATTACAGGTGCCCACACCACACCCGGCTAATTTTTTGTATTTTTAGTGGAGACAGGGTTTCGCCATGTTGGCCAGGCTGGTCTCGAACTCCTGACCTCAGGTGATCCACCCACCTTGGTCTCCCAAAGTGCTGGGATTACAGGCGTAAGCCACCGTGCCTGGCAAGATTATTTTAAAATGCGATAGAAGTTTTCTAGAATATTCTGACTTACATTTACTGAACTACTTCATTGTACTTTGAGTATTTCTGTGTACTTCCCTTATATGGAAAACATGATTACGATGTAAAAATCTCTTGAGGTTGGGGATTTTCCATCATGTTTTTATCCTTGCACAACTAACATAGACATTTAGACATCTATTGAGTAATGTTTCAATGAATGACAAAAGAATAGTGCCCCAAAATTACTTTGCTTTTAGTGAGTCAAAATTAGCAGATTGGAACTGGGTATGGAAAGCCTCCTCCTTTGGGTAAGTTATTGTATCTTAAATGGGTCTCTTTTCTTAGTTTTCCCAAAGCAAGGGTTAAATATATGAATTAATGCAACCTCAGATAACAGCTTGTCCTCAGAGTACTAGGGATTCACTAAGCTAAAGTAAACATAAGGTTAAAACAGTTTTTGAAAGTACAAATAAAATGGACTTAAAGAGTTTAAAGTCCATAGGGTATATCACTGTAACAAAACTAAAGAGTCACAGAAAGGTAAAGAAAGGAAGCAATCAATGAAGCAAGAAAATAAACAGAATAACCAAAAAAACTTCCTTTCAAATGTATCTTTCAAAAAATACATTCACATACTTGAGAAATAGGTCTGTGTAAAAAATGTACCCTCTTCAATTCTCTCTCGAAAAATAAAATTAGATTTATAGTGAGCTATCTTTGTAATATCCTAAAATTCATTCATTTATTCAATAAATATTTTTGAGTACCTTATAAAGGATCATATGCCATTCAAGACAAAGGAGAAATGAACAAAACAGACCTAGCCTTGCTAAAGCTTACACTCTATGGGAGGATAGGAACAGACAGGAAACGTGTAAACAAGTAAAATCTAAAGATAAGATAAAGGCAGATGGTGATCACTGCTATAAAATAAAACAGGGTACTAGGCTGGTAAATGACTGCGTGTTTGGGGAAGTGGAGGGAGGGCAGGAGCAGTGTGTCAGCTAGTGTCCAGGAAGGTGTCTAAGGAGGTGCATGGGGGAGGGTGCCAGTCATTCGGAGACCTGAGAGAAGAGAGGAGTAGAGGCGGAAGCGCCTGAAGTGGGAATGAGCCAAGGAGATTCAAGAGACAGAAAGAAAACTTGTGCACTTGTATGTGATGAAACATGAGTAAGAGTGGTAGAAGCTGAACTCAAAAAGTACATTGTGGCCAGGGCAAGAAGTTCGTATTTTACTGTAATTTACTATATATCGTATATATTAATATTATGTAATCTATCACATATTAGTTATAATTACCAAGAGAAGCCCCAGCAGCAGGATAAGCAGGGACCTGGTCTCCTGTTATAAAATGATCATATCTGGCTATGGAGAGGGGGAGGCAAAGAGTAAAAGCAGAAAGATCAATTAGGAGGTTGTTTTAATAATGCAGGAAAGTGGAGATTTTAGACTAAGGTGATGAGACTTACTGATGGGTTTGATATGTGGAGTGAAGAAAAAAGAGGAATTAACAAATGGATTTTCTTTCACCGTGAACAAATGGGTAGAGGACAGAACCATTAACTGGGATGGGGAATATCAGAAAAAAGGTTTGGCAGGGTAGGTAGATGATGGGTGGGAGAGAGATGTATTCATTTGATATATATTCATTTGAGATGCTTATTAGACATTCAAAACAAAGTACTGAACTTTATATAGATCTAGAGCTCAGGAGAGAATCCAGAATCTTATGTACATAAATTTAAGGGTCATCAAGATGTATATGGCATTTGAAGCTACAAACCTGTTTTAGCTCACCTAGGCAGAGAGTGCAAATAAACAAGGGAACCCGGAACCAAACTCTGGAGACACTATAACATTTAGAAGTTGGGCAAAGGAGAACCAGCCAGTAAATTAGACTGAGAAGTAGTAATTAATAGGGAAACAAAATATGCATGGTGTCATAGAAACCCAGAGAAGATAGTTGGGTTTTTCCAAAGGAGAGGTGATCAATTTTATCAAAGGCTACAGTGAAAAAAAGTCAAAGATCAAGCAATACTCGTATATAAGATTGACATTTGGATTTGGCAAAATGAAGGTCATTGGTGTTGTGGATGAGAGAAAATAATGAAGATGAAGAAATGGAGACAGCAAGTATGATACTTCAGGATGGAATCAAGGACAACTCATGCCTCTGTCTTCCAGAATACTGCACTAGAAGGACCACTTTTTCAGATTCTGTACAACTCTTTTCTTCTCAGCTGAAGGTCAAAAAGATAATATGTTCATTTTAAAAAACAAAATATACCTTACTATATATTATACATTCTATAACTACACAAACTATACTATAGATGCTGCTATTGACCACACAATGAACTAAATACATCATTTAATTAATATTTATTTAAAATGTATTGAAAACATCAGATTTCTTGTGGTCCTTATCAATTTTTGCCGTCATCTCTGAGAAAATGCATCTGAGCATCTCTCATAAAAACTTCGTTTGATTCTAAAATATCCTAACATGCTGATGTGTGCAAACAAACTCTAGTAAAAGGTTCAACTATCGTGGAGTATTTATGGCCCACAGGTGATTTTCACTAACAGCACAGGTTAAAAGGAGATGCTTGATATTATGGCCTTGGAATTCTTTTCCTGCTTAATCACAGGCTCCTTAGAATCCCATCAGCTGCTCTGTTGAGGTGAACAAAAGCACCATAGGAACACTTTCTGATCCTAATACGTATTTCCATTTGCCAGCAACCCCTAGGATCTAGTGTTTCCTGCCTTAGTTCTTGACACTTATTATTGACATATTGGCATCCTCAATAATGGAGCTAGATTGTTATTAGTAGTAATACTAGTAGCAAGATATTACGCCTAGTACCTTGTAAGCACTTATTGTGGGAATGGCACTAATTAAGAGCCTTACATAATAATAGTGAAAATTACTACCCTGATTTAATGCACACTGTGTACAGGTGCCACCGAAAGTACTTTACATGTGTTAACTCATCTAATCTTCAAAATTCTGTGAGTTAGAAACAATTATTCTCAATTTGCAGGTAGGGAAGCTAAGACAAACAGATATTCAGTTACTTTCCCGTGTTAACAGAGCTAATAAGTGGCCAAGCTGGATTTGGTACCCAAGTAATCTGGCTCTAATGACTGTGTTTCTAACCCCTACA